CATCTTGATGTTACACTCATCAAGAGCTTTCATTTGAGTACCCACATGCATTTTTGATATATTTTTCATAGATACACATATATAATTATTTAAAATATATGACAAAATTGATGTGGGTACTCAAATGAAAGGTCTTGATGAGTGTAACATCAGCATGAGCTTATATCTTTAAAAATGTCAATAGTTTACAAGATACAAGGTAATTTCTTGATTATGTATGTAGAGAAATTTTCAAATGTAGCCTAAATATCATCATAAAAATGAAATAAAAACCCAATATTATCATAAGACTATCCTAGAAACAAAATTTCTCATTCTCTTAATAATATAGATTATATTTAAATATTCCAGATAATTTCCAAGAAGAACTAAAAGAGTCAAAAGTCCAAATAATAAGATCCAAAAAATACGAGTGTGATTTTTGCAAGCATAAATTTTCTCATAAAAACGCTCTACTGGTTCACATCAACAAACATATGACGACAAAATACAGATGTGAGTTCTGTTCAAAAAGTTACATCACAAAAGAGGGCCTGACCCGTCACACAGCTCGGCATACAGGCGACATGCCTTACGAGTGTGAAATTTGTGCTTCTAAATTCGTGATCAGATCTACTTACGACAATCACATGCGAATCCACAACGGCGAAAAGCCCTTCGCTTGTAACGTTTGTTCCTCGAAGTTTCGCGACAAATGCCATCTGGTTGTTCACCAGCGGATTCACTCAGGTGACAAGCCCTACGCTTGTCACATTTGCTCAGTGAAGTTTCGTCACAATTCGAGCTTGAAGACTCACATTAGAATTCACACCGGCGAGCGGCCTTTCGGTTGCGAAAAATGCTCTGCGACATTCCGGAACTCTAGCTCGCTAAGGAGCCACAAGCAAGTTCACACTGAAGGAATAAGTCAAAAAAGTAAAAAAAGAAAAGAAAAAGGAAAACGGTATTCTTGTGAAATTTGCTCTTACAAATTTAGAGAAAATTACTCATTGAAAGTTCACATACGCAGTCATACTGGAGAGCGGCCTTATGCTTGTCAAGTTTGCTCCTCGAAATTTAAAGATAAGTTCGGGTTGACCAGGCACATGAAGACTCATCAGAAGAAATATAAGGAACATAATTTGTGACCTCTGTTTAATAAAATTTCGATTTTTTAAAACTTCAGAGATATTTTTAATTTTTGCTTTGAAAATATTTTGAAAAGTAATAGTTCTATTTTTTCTAATTTAATAAATTAAGCACAATCAAATAATCTAAAATTTCGGCTCAATTGATTATTATTTTTTAAATAAAAATTAATTTAGCAAATATTTAATTATTTAAAGAATTTTGGTGACAAATTATTGCAAAAAAAAAAATAAATTGCAATTTTTTTATAAATTTTTTTGTTAAATAAAATAAAAAAATAATCAAGTGATTGTTAGCTTTAATGTCATAATTTTAAATCCAAGATTGCAAATAAATATTTTGTACATATTTATATTTAATAAAATTATTATACTGTAAATTAAAATAATTATTTAGGTTGTATAATATAATTTTTTATTTTCAATTACTTTACTAATTTATGTAATAAATTAAAAATAAGAATTGAAATTAAAAAAAAATAAAAATTGTTTTTTTTTTTTAAATAATTTTTTTTTTTTAATTTCTACTTGTCAATTTTTTTGCCATAAATTTTCAAAATTAATAAATATCTGCTAAATTAATTTTCATAATTAAGAGTCACTAGACTGGAATTTTTTTTTATTTTAATTGCAGATGACCAGTCGATAAAGTGAAACACTTCTTCAGTATTATTAATAATGTATATAAGTGCGTGCAATGCAGTGTTTATGTCTGAGAATATCTAGAGCATTGATTGTAATAATTAAAAAATAGAGCAAAAAAATTGTTGACATTTTTATAAAATAGTAAAAAAGTAAATAAATAATTTTTAAAAATGGATGAAAATTATCCATTTGAAAAAGTTATTATTAAAGTTGAAATAGATGAAGAGGTAAGGTTAAGTTTTAGAAATTATTTTTTTATTATTATTATTATTAATAAATTTATTTTTTAGGAATTTCAAGAGGATCAATCAATTTTTAATTATGAAGATTATAATTTCGGTGAAGATTATCCTATAGATATTGAGGATATTAAGATAGAAGTACCCGGTAAGAATTTCAAATATTTCAATTATTTTTTACTCTGGAATTTTTTATAATTTTTTTTTATTGAAAAAATCATTACAAAAAAAAAATTTCATAGGTAGCAGATAAAAATTAAATTAGCTGACGTTTTTAATTTTTTGATTTTTTTTTTATTAATTAAATTAGAACTAAAAAATATTTTTAAAAAATTACACGTATAATTTTTGAAATTTTCTGTAAGTGAAATTTTTTCTTTTAATTTTTTTTTCCATTAAAATAAATGACAAAAACTTTCAGACAGCCATCAAGACTCGCTAGCCGAGCTGCCGATTGATATCGAGGAAATAAAAATAGAGATGCCAGATTTTTCACCAATTTCCAAAAAAAAGCCTCGCAAGCGTAAAGCAAAAGTCGAGTTGAAGCCTAAAATACGTCAAAAAGTTTCCCGAAGAAAGCCGAAGGCCGAGAACGAGCGACCTTACGCTTGTTCCTCTTGTTCCAGCTCGTTCCGTGAAAAGGGGAGCCTGAACCGGCACATTAAGATTCACGAAGCTAAAACATTTATCTGCGACATATGTGCCGCGAAATTCGTGCAGAAGGGCCAGCTAAAGGTCCACATGCGGATCCACACGGGCGAGAAGCCGTACGGCTGCACAGTTTGTCCGGAGAAGTTCCGCAGCAAGATGACCTTGAACCAGCACATGAGAATCCACACTGGAGAGAAGCCCTTTCAGTGCGACGTTTGTTCCAGGCGGTTCCGGCAAAAGGTCCAGATGACAGTCCACATGCGGATCCACACCGGGGAAAAGCCCTACACTTGCAGTGTCTGTTCCGCCAAGTTCCGGGAACGGGGCACTTTGTCCAAGCACATGCTTGTTCACACCGGGGAAAAACCGTACACTTGTCAGTTGTGTCTGATGAAGTTCCGGACGAAGGCTCACTTAAAGACGCACATTTTTTCCCACACTGGAGAAAAGCCGTACGGCTGCAATATCTGCTCATCTAAATTCAGAAGAAAGTGCTCGCTTGTTCAACACCTGAGGACCCACGAAGGAGAAAAGCTTTACACTTGTTCTGTCTGTTTGACTGTTTTTTCTAAAATAGCTACTTTTACTAAACACATGCTCTTCTTTCACACTGTCGATGAACTTTTGATGTTTGAGATGTAAAATTAGTTTTTGTATCTAGAATTTTTTATATTTTATTATGGTAATTATAATAAAATTATTTATTAATGTTACTTTTTTTTATTTTTATATCTAAATAATTAGCAGAAATTATTAACTTAAAATTAGCTGTCACTTGATCATTATTATTTTTTTTTTAAAAGAAAAATTTATTTTTTACATCTTAATTTTTTTGAGATATAAAATCTACATAAAAATTAATGTTACTCTTTTTGATTTTTATATCAGAATAATTAACAGAAATTATTAATTTAAAGTTAGCAATCAACTGATCATTTTTTATTTTTTTTGACAAAAAAATTGATTTTTAATTTTTTGACATATTTTTTTTATTAAAAAAATTATGAATTATTACTTAATTGTTAGAAAAATTGAATTTTTTTATTTTTTTTTTTTTTTTTTTTTTTTTTTTTTTAATTTCAGATGACCCGTCGATAAAGTAAAACACTTCTTCAGTATTATTATTATATATATAAGTGCGTGCAATGCAGTGTTTTTATATATGTCTGAGAATATCTAGAGCATTGATTGTAATAATTAAAAAATAGAGAAAAAAAATTGTTGACGTTTTTATAAAATAGTAAAAAAGTAAATAAATAATTTTTAAAAATGGATGAAAATTATCCATTTGAAAAAGTTATTATTAAAGTTGAAAAAGATGAAGAGGTAAGGTTAAGTTTTTGAATTTTTTTTTTTATTATTTATCTGAGAAATTAATAATAATAAATTTATTTTTTAGGATTTTCAAGAGGATCAATCAATTTTTAATTATCAAGATTATAATTTCGGTGAAGATTATCCTGTGGATATTGAAGATATTAAGATAGAAGAACCCGGTAAGAATTTCAAATATTTCAATTATTTTTTACTCTGGAAATTTTTATAATTTTTTTTTTTATTGAAAAAATCATTACAAAAAAAAAAATTTTTAGGTCTTATTTAATAAATTCTATACTTTTAGGAATTGTAATTTTTTGTTTTATTAAATTATTCAGAAAAAATAAAAAAATTGTCAAGTGCCTGCTAATTTGAAATCTCTACTCCCATTTCGGCTGCCGAATGGCCATTTTTTTAATTTCTAATTAAATTGAAATATTCCAGATAATTTCCAAGAAGAACTAAAAGAGTCAAAAGTCCAAAAAAAAAGATTCAAAAAATACGAGTGTGATTATTGCATGCATAAATTTTCTCATAAAAACGCTCTACTGGTTCACATCAACAAACATATGACGACAAAATACAGATGTGAGATCTGTTCAAAAAGTTACATCTCAAAAGAGGGCCTGACCCTTCACACAGCTCGGCATACAGGCGACAAGCCCTACGAGTGTGAAATTTGTGCTTCTAAATTCGTGAACAGATATTCTTGCGACAATCACATGCGAATCCACAACGGCGAAAAGCCCTTCGCTTGTAACGTTTGTTCCTCGAAGTTCCGCAATAAAAGCCACCTGACCGCTCACCAGCGGATTCACTCAGGTGACAAGCCCTTCACTTGTCCTATTTGCTCAGCGAAGTTTCGTTACAGTGCGAGCTTGAAGAATCACATTAGAGCTCACACCGGTGAGCGGCCTTACAGTTGCGAAAAATGCTCTGCGAAATTCCGGGACTGTAGCTCGCTAAGGAACCACAAGCTAGCTCATACTGGAGAAAGAAAAAAAAGAAGAAAACAAAGAGAAAAACGACTTTCTTGTGAAATTTGCTCCTGTAAATTTGAAAAAAATTACTTGAAAATTCACATGCGCAGACATACTGGAGAGCGGCCTTTTGATTGTCAAGTTTGCTCCTCGAAATATATACGTAAGAGCTCATTGACCAGGCACATGAAGACTCATCAGAAGATATATAAGGAACAAAATTTATGACCTCTGTTCAGTGAATTTTTTTTTTAAACCTTCAGAGATACCTTTAATTTTTGCTTCGAAGATATTTTGAAAATTTGGAGATTTTTTTTTTTTAATTCTTCCATTTGATTTTTTAAAAATATTTTTTCTAATTTAATAAATTAACCACTATCAAAAAATCAAAAATTTCGGCTCACTTTATTATTATTTTTTAAATAAAAATTAATTCAGCAAATATTTAATTATTTAAAGAATTTTGATGACAAATTATTGCAAAAAAAAATAAATTCAATTTTTTATAAATTTTTTTGTTAAATAAAATACGTGATTGTTAACTTTAAACTCATAATTTTCAATCCAAGATGTAAATAAATATTTTGTACACATTTATATTTAATAAAATTATTATATAGTAAATTGAAATAATTATTTAGGTATAAGTAATTATATAATTTTTTATTTTTAATTAATTTACTAATTTATGTAATAAATTAAAAAAAAAATTGAAATTAAAAAAAATAAAAATTGCAATTTTTTTTTTTTTTTTAATTTCTACTTGTCAATTTTTTTTGCCATACATTTTTAAAATTAATAAATATCGGCTAAATTAATTATCATAATTAAGAGTCACTAGACTGGAATTTTTTTTTATTTTAATTGCAGATGACCAGTCGATAAAGTGAAACACTTCTTCAGTATTATTAATGTATATAAGTGCGTGCAATGCAGTGTTTATGTCTGACAATATCTAGAGCATTGATTGTAATAATTAAAAAATAGAGAAAAAAAATTGTTGACATTTTTATAAAATAGTAAAAAAGTAAATAAATAATTTTTAAAAATGAATGAAAATTATTCATTTGAAAAAGTTATTATTAAAGTTGAAAAAGATGAAGAGGTAAGGTTAAGTTTTAGAAATTATTTTTTTATTATTTAAGAAATTAATAATAATAAATTTATTTTTTAGGACTTTCAAGAGAATCAATCTATTTTTAATTGTAAAGAACATAATTTAGGTCAAGATTATCCTGTTGATGTTGAGGATATTAAAATAGAAGAACCTGGTGAGAATTTCAAACATTTTTAATATTTTATACTCTGAAAATTTTTATAATTTTTTTTTTATTGAAAAAATCATTAAAAAAAATTGACAAACTATAAGTGCAATTTTTTATAAATATTTTTTAGTTCTTATTTAATAAAAAAAAAAATCAAAAAATTTTAAGTTTTTAGAAATTGTAATTTTTTGTTTTATTAAATCATTTTTTTGTTATGTCTTTAATAAATTTTTATTAACAGGTATTGAATACGAAAATGAAGAGAATCCTCAGTATGATCCCTCGTTAATTGAAAAAAATTCCCAACCACCTATGGTAACTATTAAAACACGTGAAATAAATTTTGAAGCAGTCTACGTTGAAGATACAAATCCTATTTTTGATGAAGGTATTTCATGATTTATATTTAAAAAATTTTGGGACAGACAGTTGAATTTAAATATTTATTAAATAGAATTTTAAAATATTTATTCAACAATTTTATTTTCTTTATTTTAAAACAAGTCAGTAATATTTTTATGATACAATTGAAAAAAAAAATTGTAGCTAAAAAAATTTGTTTTAAAAAAATTATTTATTTAAAAGCTTTGAAAAATTATAATTAAAATTTTTTTAAAGAACCTGATCATATTACTATGATTTAATAAAAAAAATATATTGTATGGTTTTATGAAACTACGATGCAAGTGAAATTTTATCTTTTTTATTTTTAAAGAACATTTAATTTTGAAACAAGATAGCTCATTATTCAAAAATTTATCTTAAGGCTGATAATGTAAATTTTTTTATTCACTTTAACGTCATGGATACAGCTAGTGAGTTAAATAAATCGGTCAACGAGAGAAAAACCAAGAATAGTGCGAAAGAATCCGCCGATGAAATGACTTTACGCCGTAGGAGATTAAATGCTGAGAGAGCTCGCGCTTATAGAAAAAGGAAAAAGTCTCTCGGTGAGTTAGTTCAATTTTTATAGTGAATTTAATAATGAAAATTAAATTAGCTGACATTTAAAAATTTTTAGAAATCAATTTTAATTAAAAAATAAAAAAAAAAATTCACATGTAAAAAAACTTGAAAAACTATAAGTGCAATTTTTTAGAAATATATTTTTAGTTGAAATTTAATTTAAATAAAACAAATCAAGAATTTTTAGACGTCTGCTAACTTCAGTGATATTGTTTTTATTGATGCAGTATTTTAATTTCCATCCGGTTCATTTAATATTTTTATTTTACTTTATTAGTTTATTAAAATAAACTATTTTATTTTATTTAGGTCTTAAGTTATCTTCACAAGCCGAACTACACTCAGATTCGCTGGAAAAAAATGGTATACTGTCGACAGATGACATGTCGAGTACTAGTACGGATCCAGAATCGAGTGTTGGATTTAATACACTTATTAAAAGTAGCGAACCTATATCCGAAAAAATTCTGCATAAAAGGCGACTTAATAAAGAAAGATGCCGCAGATATCGTCAGAGACATAAGCTCTTAGTTCTTAATCCACGTCTATCACCTAAATAATTCTACTAATTGTTTATTCCGTCCTCTAATACTCAAATTTAAATTATGCTTTATAATTTATAATATAAATATTTTATCTATTATTACTTGTTCATTTTTTAATAATAAAGTTGAGATTAAAAGGGCAATTTTAATACCCTAAATTAAATAATTTTTAATTAAATGCCTACAAATCGAAAAAAAGTTTCACTTGCATCGTAGTTTCATAAAAACACACAATTTTGCATTTTTTTGATGATTTTACTTTTAAAATATTTTAAAAAAACTGAAGATAATTTTTTAAAATAAATTGTAGCTAAAAAAAATTTATTTTTAAAAATTCTCTATTTAAAAGCTTCTAAAAAATTTTCTTAAAAAACTATGTTATTGTGTTTCAATAAAAAAATTAATATTGAAGATAATTTTTTAATAAATTGTAGCAAAAAAAATTATGCATTTAGAAACTTTTAAAAATTTTTTTTAAATAATTTTTTATGCATTTATTTTTCAAGAAAAAATAAAAAAAATTGTCAATGGTCTGTTAAGTTATTAAAAATTTTTTTTTAATTTCTAATTATATTTAAATATTCCAGATAATTTCCAAGAAGAACTAAAAAAATCAAAAGTCCAAAAAAAAAGATTCAAAAAATACGAGTGTGATTATTGCAAGCATAAATTTTTTCATAAAAACGCTCTACTGGTTCACATCAACAAACATATGACGACAAAATACAGATGTGAGATCTGTTCAAAAAGTTACATCTCAAAAGAGGGCCTGACCCTTCACACAGCTAGGCATACAGGCGACATGCCCTACGAGTGTGAAATTTGTGCTTCTAAATTCACGGTCAAATTTACTTACGACAATCACATGCGAATCCACAACGGCGAAAAGCCCTTCGCTTGTAACGTTTGTTCCTCGAAGTTCCGCGAAAAAAGCCAGCTGACCGTCCACCAGCGGATTCACTCAGGTGACAAGCCCTACGCTTGTAACTTTTGCTCAACGAAGTTTCGTCACAGTGGCAACTTGAAGGCTCACATTAGAACTCACACCGACGAGCGGCCTTTCAGTTGCGATAAATGCTCCGCAAAATTCCGGGATCCTTCGACGCTAAAGAGGCACAAGCAAATTCACAGTGGAGAGAAAAAAGAAAAACGGTATTCTTGTAAAATTTGCTCCTGCAAACTTAGAGATAGTTACAATTTGAAAATTCACTTACGCAGGCATACTGGAGAGCGGCCTTTTGCTTGTCAAATTTGCTTTGTGAAATTCACTGAAAAGTGCTCGTTGAACAAACACATGAAAATTCATCAGAAGAAAATTAAGGAAGAAAAATTGTGACCTCTATTTATTGAAATTTTTTTTTTTACGCCTTCAGAGATAATTTGAATTTTTTGCTTTGAAGATATTTTGAAAATTTTTTGCTAAAATAATTTTTTTTATTTGTAAAAAAATTAAGAAACTATAAGTTCAATTAAAAAAATTTTTTTTTCTCATTTAATAAATTAAACAATCATAAAATCAAAAATGGTTAACTTTATTATTATAAATTTTCAATAAGAATTATTATATCAAATATTGCAGAAAAAAAAAATTAATTCAATTTTTTTGTTATTTAAAATAAAAAAAATGATCAAGTGATTGTTAACTTTAATGCCATAATTTTATATTAAAGATTGTAAATAAATATTTTGCACATATAGTTAATAAAATTATTATACAGTAAATTGAAATAATAACTGATTGTTTTTTAAAATTAATTAACTGTTTTTTAAAAAACTAAAATTGCATTTATTTTAAATTTGTTTTTTAAAGTTAGAAAATTCTAAAATGACAGCTAAATTTTATGTCATTATTTTTATTATAAAAAAACAACTTTTAAAAAAGCGCGCTTAATTTAGATGGCGCTTCTGTCGAAGACAAGGCATCCATGTTTGCAGTTGAGTCTGGTACATCTCATAGCATGTTTGTGTAATTAAAAAAAAATATTTTTTAATTAAATTTATTTTATAAATAGTGTAATTTGTCCATTAAAAATTGTAAATATAAATAATTATTTAATTGCACTTTGTAAAATTACAAAGAACTGTCAGGTGAGGTCAATTTTTGAATGTCAAATTTGTAAAAAATAATTTACATGTTTGACATTTTATAAAATTACAATTACAATTGTTATTAACTTACTGACTTTAATTTTAATTCCTTTAATTTTTAAAGAAAACTTTTGTTATAAAATATGACAAATTTGTACTGAATAATTAATTGCAGAAAGAGGTTAGACTCAACCAGCACAGGAGCGATTTGTCAATAACGTTTCTGTCTGGTTTTTGGGGCTGCCAAAAATTACAAAAAAAAAAAAAAGCAAGATAATTCAAGAAAAAAACAAGATTACTAAATTATAGTAATAATAATAAATTAATAATTATCACGGATCTAACGCAGGCTGGAAATGCTGACATCAATGCAAATGTCCAATTTTCGTTGCCATTCTTGTACGGATGGTTCCAAATTGATTGGACTTTGGGCTCATTATATATATATATATATTTCTTTTTTTTCAGTGAATGACAATAAAGTTAGCAGTCTTGATAATTTTTTAATTTTATTTAACAATTGAATTATTAAAAAAAAATTAAATTTTCAATTTTTGGAGATTTTTTAATTGTTCCAAAAATTATAAAATATTTTATGACACTAAAGTCAGCAGACTTCTAAAAGTTTTTATTAATTAAATTACAACTAAAAAAATATTACTAAAAAATTGCACTTATAGTTTTTTAAGTTTTTTACATGTGAAATTTTTTTTTTTTATTTTTTAATTAAAATTTTTTCAGTAAAAAACTTCTAAAAATTTTGAAATGTCGGCTAAGTTCATTTTCATAATATTTTCTACATTAATTCCCAAAAAAAATTACAAATTTTTAAATATATAATTTTTTTTTTAATTATAATAAAAATTGCATTTTTTATTTTTAAAAATTTTTTACGTCTTAATTTATTTGTTAAAAAAATTGTCAAATATCTGCTATATAAATTTTCAGTGTTATTTTTTATTCACATCAATATAAGTGTTGTAATTAATATTATCATTCTAACAGTTATAATGGAACCAAATGAAATAGGAGATGTTAACATGGAGGTAACGCCAAACGAACAAGAAAAGGAATTTGGTGAGCCAGAGTGTAAGAAGCGAAAATTATCCGAGTGTCCGTTTAAAAATAATTTACAAAAGAAGAATAACGATAAACAAGAACAAGAGCAAGAGAATGAAAATAAAAAATTGTCAAACTCGGAAATTGAGGAAACTTTTAATGATGATTTGAGACAGTTTGATGTTCTTGATGATCTTGATCATCACTCTGATCAAGATGACTCAGGAAGTGATTCTGACAGTATTTACAGTGTTGATTCTGATATTCCTGATGAGGAAGTTCATGCCATGTTAGAAGAAGGTATTCAATTAATTCTTTGAATTTTTATAACAAATTTTATGACACTGAAGTTAGCAGACGTCTAAAAATTTTTGATTTTGTTTTTTTAATTAAATTACAACTAAAAAGATATTTATAAAAAATTGCACTTATAGTTTTTTAAGTTTTTAACATATGATATTTTTTTTTTAATTGTTTAATTGAAATTTTTTCGATAAAAAATTAATAAAAATTTTCAATTGTCAGCTAACTTCATTTTCATCAAATTTTTTATTATAAAAAAATTTTTTTTATTATAAATTAATTGTTATAAAAATCTGACAAAGTTTATTATTTAATTCGATATGAATAAATTTTTTTTTAATTTTATATTTATTAAGGTCTGTCGGAAGAATTAAAAAATAAGCGAAAAAATCTAGATGATTGTATGCCTTATGAAGAAAAAGAGAAGCTAGTTTTACAAGGTAAGATTTTGCTATTATTTATTTATATTGAGAAATTGTTAATTAAAATTAAATTTTATCTAGAAATCGGGCATAACCACTTTGACGCCCTGCCTGAAGGCTGGGTCCAGGTTACACATAACAGTGGAATGCCTCTGTACCTACACAAGCAGTCCAGAGTGTGTACCCTGGCGAAGCCTTACTTCCTGGGCCCAGGAAGTGTTCGCAAGCATGAAGTCCCGGTTAGCGCAGTTCCTTGCTTGCAGTACAGACGCGCGCTCGAGGAGGAGAATGAAGAGAAAAGAAAAGAAACTGAACGCGAGTCAAGCGGAATTGGAGCCTCTAATTTACCCAGTGCTAGAATTGAGACGATTCAAGAAAATTTGGCCAATCATTCGCTTGACAGTGAACGGTTGAGGAATTACTGTCAGAACATTTTTAGATTTAAAAAAATCAAGGTCATGAGATTCCAGTGAGTATTTTTAAGACAAATTTTTTCAAGCATTAGAAAAATTATTTTAAGATTATAAGCACTTAATTAAAAAAACAATTTTTGGATTATTTATCTCGTGAACTATTGACATTTTTAAAAATATAAGCTCATTCTGATGTTACACTCATCGAGACCTTTCATTTGAGTACACACATCTATTTTTCATATATTTTATATATTTATATATAATATATGTATTTATATATGAAAAAATATATCAAAAATGCATGTGAGTACTCAAATGAAAGCTCTTGATGAGTGTAACATCGGAATGAGCTTATATTTTTAAAATATATATTACATAATTGTGAAATGACCTTGTATCTTGTCAACTATTGACATTTTTAAAGATATAAGCTCATCTCGATGTTACACTTGTCGAGACTTTTCATTTGAGTACCCACATCAATTTTTTATACATTTCATATATTTATATATATATATGTATATATATGAAAAATATATAAAAAATACATGTGGGTACTCAAATGAAAGCTCTTGATGAGTATATCATCAAGATGAGCTTATATCTGTAAATACATCAATATTTAAGAAAGTACAGAGCAATTTAACAAGAGTCATTATTTAATATACCAAAATTTGATTGAATTTACAGATCATGGTCAGCACGCCGCAAATTTACCAAGAACAAGAAGAACCGTAAGCAACTGGAGCGTCCAACCTTGCCTGGAGGAACTAAACTGATAACATTCCCTATCGGAACTGGCACTGGATCCGGAAGCGGAAGTTCTGGAGCTGGAGATGACAGCTCCAATCAACGACCTCCCAAGCACTGGATAATGAATCCTTCCGGCAAGAGTTTCGTCTGTATTTTGCACGAATACGTCCAGCATGCTTTAAAAAAGCAACCGACTTATAAATTCAAGGAATTAGAAAATGCGGCTACGCCTTATTCCGCAATTGTCTGTATCAATGATATGGAGTACGGAGTCGGGTTTGGCAGTAGCAAGAAGCAAGCCAAGGCCGATGCAGCGCGCAAAACCTTGGAAATTTTGATCCCTCAAATGCGCGACAAAATTTTGGGAGAAATGGCCACGGACAGCTCGACTAATGCTGAGAGAATTAAAGCCTCGCGGGGTGATACTGATGCTGACTTGTCGTTCTTTGATGACATTTCTATTACTGATCCTCGAGTGGCTGAATTTTGTGCCAAGACTACTGAACCCTCGCCTCATGCTATTTTAGTTACTTGCTTGCAGAGGAACTTTGGGCTTGGTGATGTTCAAATTAATTACTCGGTTAATACGTTAAAGCATCAGCAAAATGAATTTACTATGAAAGTTGGTAAACATGAAGCTAAAGTTGTAAGTATTATTTTATTATTTTAATACTGAAGTTAGCTGGCATTTTTAATTATTATAATAAGTTAACAAAAGTCATTATTTAAAAATATTTTTTTTAATTTTAATTTAATTAATAAAAAAATTTTTGCACGTCAATTCATTTTAGTATCATTAATTTTGATCTTTGTGACACTTGAATAATAATTTTTTTATAATAATTTAATTGTTTAAAAAAATAATCAAATGTCAGCTAATTTTAGTATACTAAATATATTATAAAGTAATTTTTATAAAAAAATAATTTAATTTTGAAATCAGGTTTGCAGGAATAAAAAAGAAGGCAAGCAACAAGCAGCCCAGGCGATTTTAAAACTCCTTCATCCCAGTATCCCCAGTTGGGGATCCTTGCTCCGTCTGTACGGATCACGCAGTGTCAAGTCTTTCAAGGAGAAAAAACAACAGGAGCAAGAGATAACTCTGCTCCAAGGAAAGGCTGCTGTTAATCAGCCAAATCACGCTATTCTGAACAAACTTCGCCATGAAATGAAAAAATTGTCCGAGCAACGACAAGCTGTTCAACCAATCGGTAAATTTATATCCTCAGACCTTCCAAGTGGATCTGCTGCCAATTTAAACAACGTTAATTTATAGTCTGCTGATACTTATAATTTTCTGTGATATGTTAAAAAAATTCTCTTTAAATCAAATCATGTATCAGTCCATTTTTTATAAAAATTTTATTTCTTTTTGTAATTAAGTAATAAAGTGTTTTTGAGAAGACATGGAATTTGTGTTCTAATAGATTTTAATTATTTTAAAGAAAATTTTTACCGACAGTTCACTAGACAGCACACTGTAATTTTTGGTATAGTTAAGTCAAACTTGTATATTTACTTTTAGATACTCTGTGTTTACCTTTTATTTTAAAAACAATTTTTGTAATGTTAATTAAAAATAAAAAAATTAAATTGTTAATTTAATTTAATAAGATTTGTTATAATAGTTTTAAAAATATTTAATAATTATGGAAGGCAATATTTCTTTTGAGGAAATATTTTTAAAGACTGAAAATCAGGTAAGGGTTATGTTTTTATACTAATAATTAATAATAATCAATAAATATTTATTGTCATTATTTTTAATAATTAGAAAATGAATGTCAATTTTTTTGTTTTTATATTAATTATATTGTTATTAAAAAATTTTTACTAAAATTAGCTGTCACTTAATTTTTTTAAAAGACAATTTTTCATTTTCAAAATTATTTTGTCATAATTTAATTATCAATTTGCTAAATTAATTTCCATAAAAAACCATAAATGCACAATTTTATAATTGCAATAAAATTATTGAAAAAATTGACAGAATTAGCAGTTGATAATTGTTTAATTTAATTTAACAAGAAAAATTATTTATAAAAAATTGCATTTAAATACACTCATCAAGAGCATTCATTTGAGTACCCACATGCATTTTTTATATATTTTTTTATATATACATATATATAAATATATAAAATATATGAAAAATTGATGTGGGTACTCAAATGAATAAAGGTCTTGATGAATGTAACATCGGGATGAGCTTATATTTTAAAAAATGTCAATAGTTCACAAGATACAAGGTCATATCTTAATTATTGATATTTTTAAAGATATAAGCTCATCTCGATGTTACACTCATTAAGAGCTTTCATTTAAGTACCCACATGCATTTTTTATATATTTTTCATATATACATATATATATATATATATGAAAAATTGATGTGGGTACTCAAATGAAAGGTCTTGATGAGTATAACATCAAAATGAGATTATATTTTAAAAAATGTCAATAATTCACAAGATACAAGGTCATTTCTTAATTATGTATCTAGAGATATTTTCTAATGCAGCCTATATACTTATCATAATAAATTGACTATATCTACAATGACACTAAATTTCATTAAAAAAAACCCATGGTCCAAAATTTTGCTCATTCTCTACATAGATTTATTGATAAAAAAAAAAAATAAATAAATTTTCTTAACTTATAAAAATTTCAGGATTATCAAATCAAAGACGAAGATCAATTAGATTGTCAAGATTACCCTATAGACATCGAAGAAGTCAAAATAGAATCAAATGTATCTCCAAAAAACCTTAACGAAGAGAGACCATTTATATGTGACAGCTGTTCGATGAAATTTCTAACAAAAGGCCACCTAAAGCGGCACATGCAAGTGCACACAGACGAAAAACAGTTCACCTGCGACACATGTTCCCAGCAGTTCCGCCAGAAATGTAACCTAAAATTGCACATGCAGAAGCACTCAAAAGAAAAGCCTTTCAAGTGCAAAGTATGTTCGGCAAAATTCGGGTACCGTCGGTCGTACGAGTACCACATGTTAATGCACGAAGGCGTAAGACCTTACGAGTGTGAATATTGCAGCTCAACATTCCGCACGAGGAATCTGCTGAAGAACCACGTGCTGATCCACAAAGGAGAGAAGCCATTTGCTTGTAAAGTATGTTACAGGACGTACCGGAACAAGTATTACCTAAAAATACACATGCGCATGCACACCGGCGAGCGACCTTACCAGTGCGACATCTGTCCGGCAAAGTTCGCCATCTTGAGCAACCTTTCACGGCACATGCGCGTTCACACCGGCGAGAAGCCGTTCGGCTGCGAACTTTGTTCCGCGCGGTTCGGCCAGAAGGTGGCGCTGCAGGAACATCAGTTGATCCATCAAGACCAAAGACCTTTTGAGTGTGACCTTTGCACTGCTAAATTCCGTGTCAAGAGGGGTTTAAAAATTCACATGCGCACGCACAAAAAAAAACCTTTTATTTGCGAGGTTTGTTCCCAAAAATTCAGCGATAAAGCTTTTCTAGATCAGCATATGTATTTAAGGCACAATACTGTTCCTTATAAATGTAATGTTTGCAATCAGCTGTTTAGGGACATTCTAGAACTGAACACTCATTTATTGGTTCATCGGTCTGAACCACTTTTTGTATGTGATACTTGTTCCGCGCAGTTTTATACAAAGGAACAGCTGAGCAAGCACCAGGCTATGCATTTGGTGGAAAAATCTTATATTTGTAGAGTTTGTTCGGCTACTTACCGAATTAAGAGTGAGTTCTTGGAACACGTGATGAACCATCAGGAAATTGATGCAAGTTCTGAGTCTGCGGCGGTTAAGGTTCTTAGCAAGAGACATTTTTATGTCTACAATCAAATCAATGTTCAAACCAAGGCTGAGTCGGATGATGGTGATAGTTCTGATGAACATGAAGATAAGGATCCTTTGGAGATTACTCAGCAGACAGAGGCTAAAAGTGTTATTTGGGTTAAGAAAGATTTAATGGCTAAATAAAATTATTTTGTTATTTATTTAAAGCAGCCTTTTGATTATTTTTTTTAATAAATTAATTTGCTCCAAAAAAATAATACTTAAGTTAGAAATATTGGACATGATAATAAAGCTGATGTTTTTTATTTTTTTATTTATAATAATAAAGTTGACCGACGTTTTTAATTTTTTAATTTTTTTTTATCAATTAAATTAGAACAAAAAAATATTTTTTAAAAATTACACGTATAATTTCTAAAATTTTCTACATGTGCAATTTTTTAAATTAATTTTTTTTTAAGTAATTTTTTCAAAAAAAAATTCTACAAATAATTAGATGTAGGCTAGCTTAATTTTCATTCCAAAAAATTATTTCTAAAAAATTGCATTTTTTATTTTCTAAATGTCAATTTATTTTCTTTGACATAATTTATTTGTTAAAAAAAATAATAAAATCTGGTGACTTAATTTTCATCTATAATTCTTACCTGTCACTTTTAAATAAAAAGAATTTTAAAATTAATAAATAATAATAAAGTTAGCCGACATTTTGGATTTTTTGATTTATTAAATTATAAATAAAAAATATTTTTTAAAAATTCCTCTTAGTTTTTACAAATTAAAAATTTTGTCGGCTAATTTTATTTTTATAATTAATAATCACTGACACTAGACATTTTTTCATAATTTATAATATTAAAATCAGCTGTCCCTTCACAATTTTTTATTTTATTTAACCAACAATTTTTAATTTATTAAAATTTCTACCTGTTTAATTTTTAACTTATTTTTTTTTTACATAATTTATTTAAAAAGTTCTTAAAATCATCAAATATCTATTGAACTAACTTAAAAGTAACTTATTATTAAAAAAAAAACTTAATTAAAAACTTCTAAATGTAAAAATAAAAAAAAAAAATTGTTAGTTAAAATTTTTGGAACCATTTTCAATCGCAATTTATCCGTTATAAAATTTGAAAAGTAGTCAGCTGACTTCAGTTTGATAAATTAGTACCAAAATTTGAAAATAGACGTCGCTAGTGTTGGCGCGAAATTTTAAATTGCAAAAAAGTATAAACAATGTTTTGATTTTAAATTCTTTTGAAGTTAGCAGACAATTCAAAATTTTTATTAATTTTTTATCGAAAAAATTTCAATTAAACAATTAATAAAAAATATCATATGTTAAAAACTTAAAAAACTCTAAGTGCAATTTTTTATAAATATCTTTTTAGTTGTAATTTAATAAAAAAAAAAAAATCAAAAATTTTTAGACGTCTGCTAACTTCAGTGTCACATTCTGAAGCCAAAATATAAATTAAAAATTTTCCCGCACTTTTTCAGCAGATGGCGCGCCATTTTAGAAATTTATTTTACCGACTCGCGATGGCCGCGTTGGTTTTAAGCGTTGTGCAGCGCATAGCTTTACGATGTGATCTCAGTACACTTCTTATAATTTTAGTTTTTTAATTTTCCTAGAAATACTGGCGTTCTTCCTCCAAACTATAAATATAAATATAAATAACAATAAATAATAAAAAAATAGCAGCGGGTGAAAAAAATAAAAAAACAATTGTTAACTCCGAGCAGAGTGTTAAATATTTTAATATTAATATTAAAAGTCTAAGCGATAGATGTATTTAATTATAAAGTGTGATACGAATGTCCAACTGACAAGATTTAATTAGCATAGTGGTTGGCGTTTATTCTCATTACACGGGTAAAAATTGTAAAAATCACTCTCTTATCCACATGGCTTATGGCTTCCAAGTGAAAGTTTTCTGTCAGTCATAAACTCTATATATACTTGCATACTTTTACATTACACATTACTACTCTATAAATATATATTACTGGTTAATTAAACCGTTTAAAATTTTTTATTTTTTTTTACTTAGATCTAATTCGGCATCTCCAAAAAACAAATAAACGAGCATTACTTTAAATAAAGTTACTTTTCAACGCCGGGTTTAAATTAATGAGCTCTAATTAAATCAATTAAGAAACGAGTTCATCCAGACTCGAAACTCCATGTAATATTCTCACCCGTCTGCTCTAAAAGTATTTTTTTAACTCATTAATTTGTTACAAATTAATTCACTTTTATAATGAATGTAAGTATCATTTATTATTCTTTATTAATAGTAATTACAATTATAAAATTTTTATTTTTTTATATATTATAATAATAAAGTTAGCCGACGATTTTTTTTTTTTTAATTAAATTAAAACAGAAAAATATTTTTTAAAAATTGCACTTAGGTACAGTTTTTAAAGTGTTTTACAAGTGCAATTCTTTTTTAATCATTTTTTACAATAAAAAAAAATTCTAAAAATATTTAAATGTCGGCTAACTTAATTTTCATTAAATTATTAAATTTTATTAATTAAAAAAATATTTTTAAAAAATTACATGTATAATTTTTATTTTAATTTTTTAAAAAATATTTCTCAATAAAATGAATTATCAAAATTTTTTAATTTAAGAAACTAAAATTAGCTGACAGTAAAAAATTTTTTATTAATTAAATTTGCAATAAAAAAAAATTTTTTTTAAATTGCACTTATAGTTTTTTAATTTTTTTACATGTGGAATTTTTTTTTTAAATAATTTCTCAATAAAATAAATTATCAAAATTTTTTAATTTATGAAACTAAATTAAGCCGACAGTAAAAAATTTTTTATTAATTAAATTAGCAATAAAAAAATATTTTTAAAAAATTGCACTTATAGTTTATTAAATTTTTTACATATGCAATTTTTTCTTTTAATTTTATTAATAAAAAAAATTTTTTAAATTGTCAGATAATTTTGTTTTTATGGATAATTTATTTTTTATAAAGTATGAATATAATAAAGATAATACCAAAGTAGCATCGAATAAAACGAAAGAGTAAACTCATAAGATTTGAAATTACAGAAACTATTTTGAGAATGTTCTATATTTGTCCGAGTGAAATGCCAAAACTTTTGGTTAGATTATATAATTCAGTATTGAATATTCTTGAGTGACCTGTAGTTAAAAAATATATCAATGGAATGTAATTAAAAATTATAAAGAATAATTAAAAATTAACACTTATTAATAATTCAGCAATTGATAATGCAATAATGCTCTAACATAAAACAGCTTCGCTAATAGATATGTAAAGATAAAGTTATTTAAATATTTGATGGGTGATATAGCTGATAATTTAAAAGATAATTGATAATAATAATAATAATAATAATAATGTGGGTGTTGGTGTGTGTACAAAAGGTTATCGACGGCGACTTAGCATCTTGTCTGGAAGGTGGTTGACTCAGCTAGCTCAGGTACTTGATATGATCGAGAGTGTATCAAGACGAGCGCTGAGTGGCTCCAGTGGGAGCTACCACGTTCGAGGAGCCGAGCTGGCGCGCGATCGCAGATTGAAGTCACTTGCAGCTACTGTAGTTTTTCTCGATGAAACCCAGCATACCTTTCAGCTTGATGTGAGTATCATTTTCTTTTTATTTATCTATATTATTAAGGAATAAGCAAAATTTTGTCTCCAGGATAGTCGTATGATAAAATCGGTTTTTTTTTTTAGTAAAATTTAGGGATTAATTAAGAAATGACCTTGTATCTTGTAAACTATTGACATTTTTAAAGATATAAGCTCATCCTGATGTTATACTCATCAAGACCTTTCATTTGAGTACCCACATCAATTTTTCATATATTTTATATATTTATATATATTATATATGTATATATGAAAAATATATCAAAAATGCATGTGGGTATTCAAATGAAAGCTCTCGATGAGTGTTACATCAGGATAAGCTTATATTTTTAAAAATATCAATAATTAAGAAGTGACCTTGTATCTCGTGAACCATTGACATTTTTAAAGATACAAGCTCATTCCGATTTTATACTCATCAAGAGCTTTCATTTGAGTACTCACATGCATTTTTGATATATTTTTCATATATACATATATATAATATATATAAATATATAAAATATATATGAAAAATTGATGTGGGTATTTAAATGAAAGGTCGTGATGAGTGTAACATCAGGATGAGTTTATTTCTTTAAAAATATCAATAATTAAGAAATGACCTTGTATCTTGTAAACTATTGACATTTTTAAAGATATAAGCTCATCCCGATGTAACACTCATCAAGACCTTTCATTTGAGTACCAACATCAATTTTTCATATATTTTATATATTTATATATATTATATATATGTATATATGGAAAATATATCAAAAATATATGTGGGTACTCAAATGAAAGCTCTTGGTAAGTGTAACATCGTGATGAGCTTATATCTTTAAAAATGTCAATAGTCAAGAAAGTACAGTGCAATTTAACAAAAGTCATTATTTAATAAAGCAAAATTTTATTTATTTATAGTTCACGTTCTTATCATTTTAATTATTTCTTTCAGAAACGTGCCAAGGGCCAGATTCTCCTAGACCTGGTCTTCCAGCACCTGGAGCTCATCGAAAAAGACTACTTTGGCTTGCAATACGCTGAGAATCCAACAGTTTATCCCAATTCTGATGCTATGGTAATTTTTATTAAAAATATTTATAAATTTAAAAGAAAAATATATTTAATTTTGAATTTTTTCAGAGATGGCTAGACCCATCGAAGCAGGTTAAAAAGCAGATAAGAAGTAAGGGTAAAGATCATTCTTTTAAATGATATTCTCCGATGAAATTAGTCAGCAAGAATTTAATTTTTTTTCTTTCCAGGCGGTCAGTTTTTTTTCAAAGTTAAATTTTACGTTTCTGATCCAAGCAAACTTCAAGAAGAGTACACGAGGTACCAGTTTTACCTCCAAATAAGAAGAGATATTCTTCATGGAAAACTTCAACTTCCTACTAGCACTGCCTGTCTAATTGCTAGTTACACCGTTCAATGTAAGTTGATAATAAATTAAATTTTAAATATACTTAAATTGAAGCTTTAATAAATTTTTATTAAACAGCTGAGTTGGGCGATTATCATCCAGAAGAGCATGGGCCTGGGTATCTATCAAAATTGCAGCTCATTCCCGGACAAACTGAAGAAATGGAGAAGAAGATTTGTGAACTTCATAAACTTCACAAGTAATTTTTTTTTTTTTTTTTTTTTTTTTTTAAATTAATTTGATTGTTTAAATGAATTATTTTTTAGAGGCCAATTGCCAGCGGATGCAGAGTTTAATTTCCTGGATCATGCAAAGCGACTGGACATGTACGGAGTGGAGTTACATAAGGCAAGGGTATGCACGTTTATTGTACTCGACAACTATTCACGGTTTTAGACTATTTTTTATGTCAGTACACTATCAATTATTTTAAACGACTAACATTAAACGTGGATGTAAATCAACAGGACTCGACAAACAAAGAGATTCAATTGGGTGTGACGTCAATCGGGTTGGTGGTCTTCCAGAATAATATTAAAATCAACGTATTTTCCTGGTCGAAAATCGTAAAGATTTCTTTCAAACGCAAGCAGTTTTTTATTCAACTTCGCCGAGAGCAGGTTAATTATTTTTATAAAAAATACTAGCAACCTTACAATGTACTTTCTTAATTATTGACATTTTTAAAGATATAAGCTCATCCTGATGTTACACTCATCAAGAGCTTTCATTTGAGTACCCACATGCATTTTTTATATATTTTTCATATATACATATATATAATATATATAAATATATAAAATATATGAAAAATACATGTGGGTACTCAAATGAAAGGTCTTGATGAGTACGACATCAAGATGAGCTTGTATCTTTAAAAATGTCAATAGTTCATAAAATACAAGGTCATTTTTTAATTATTGATATTTTTAAAGATATAAGCTCATCCTGATGTTCTAATAATCAAAAGCTTTCATTTGAGTACCAACATGCATTTTTGATATATTTTTCATATATATGATATATATAAATATATAAAATATATGAAAAATACATGGGAGTATTCAAATGAAAGGTCTTGATGAGTATAAAATCGGAATGAGCTTGTATCTTTAAAGATATAAGCTCATCCTGATGTTACACTCATCAAAAGCTTTCATTTGAGTACCCACATCAATTTTTAATATATTTCATATATTT